GCGGATGCTCTGGGAAAGGTCTCATTTACACGAGTTGCTGGAGTTAGGACTGGGGAGAGGTTAGGTAGGAGCAAGGATGGAGCAGAAAGCAGAGACTGATGAAAGTCTGTGACAAATGGTAACTAAGAAGTTAGAGGGAAGGTGGAGCTCAGGACACGTTTGAGGAGAGAGGTCTCATTTTTCAAAACTGTTCGTGCTTTCTGTCACTTTATATGCAATCTTTGCAGTGTTGTGTTAAGAAAAAAAAAAAAAGAGATGTGAAAATGTTTTCAGGTCCTTTATGGAGAGCAGGACCCTTTGCAGGCTGCTGCAGAGAGGTGGCACCTGCACGGGGGTTAGGCTGGTGCAGTGCTGGGCACTTTTGGTGTGCGGAGCAGCTCCAGTGTTAGAGCTGAGCAGTCAGTGCTTCCTCCTGCATTTGCTGGACCACTTTAGATAGGATCATGGAGACTAGACACCACGTAGTAGTTTTTAGAGCTTGTAGAGAGGGAGAATAGCAGGAAGGGCTCTCTGATTTTTCCCTTAGCCATCATTTCCAGGACAGCGAGTGGAAGCCTGCAGTCTCCTACTGCCCTTCAGAGACCTCTCCTTTTTTTTCTGTTTTATGCCGAATCCCTATTCACTATGCTACAAGTTCTCTTGATGTTTTACTTTAGTTTTCTGTCTCGTGCGCAGACCTCTGTCCCCCCTTTTTTTTTTCCAAGGCTTCAATCCCTCTTGCTGTTTTTCGGTAATTGGGGTGGTCTCCTCCTCTCTCCTCCCTCACTCTTTTCTTCTAGTTATCCCAGTTGTCTTTATTCACTCTGCATACTCCCCTTTTTCCTGCTCTTTATTCACCCACATGTATGTTTCTCTTTTCTTTTCCTGTCTTGCATGCAGCCCTGTTCCACTCCTCTATACTTTCCCACCCTGTTCTTCAATGCTTTGCACCATGCAGCCTGTTTTTTCCATTGGGAATCTTGCTCCGTCAGGTTTCTTATGAGAAGCAAAGAAATCTTTGGTGCCTTTGCAGCCATTCCTCTCTTCCTGTTGCTGACTCTGTGTACCTCCCGCTCACCTAAGTGGAGTCTAAATAATTCAATTTCTCTAAAGAGCTCTTCTCCCTGCGTGTGCCTGCCTCTTGCCCCAAGCCAGCCCCTGCCAGGCAGGAGGTGGCTGAGCAGTGGGATCCCCTTGAGGCAGACCCCTGGCTGCCTCCTGCATGGGCTAGCAGGGAAGTTTTGCTGTCAGCCTTTCCAGAGGGTCAGCATCCCTCCCAAAGCAGGCGCGAGCAGTGCCGGCAGCCGCTGCCAGAGACTGGCATTGCCCCCGGGCTGCCTATGGAGCTGCAGTTGATATCTTCCAGGTTTGCATGTTCAGCATCGTAACGCAAATATTACAAAAATGATTTGAATTCCAGTTCAAGTTTGTTTATCAACGGTCCAAACTAAATGAAAAGCGAAACTTCTCGTAGTACCTGACTGCCAAAACCTCCTGGCTAGAGACAGGTCTCCAAGAGACAATATCTCCTTAAGCCTTGTATGATGAAGGAGCAAAAGAGGTGGCTGCTGCCCTGCCCCTCCCCTAACCTCCACTTTTTGGAACCTCCCTCTCACCATGAATAACTCCAGTGTCTGCCCCTGGTGATGGGCAGAGCTTTGACAATCATCCTCCTCAGCTGGAAGTGGACATGATTTTGATAGTGTCACTCTACCACACACGAGACGCTGAATAGCAGCAAGAAAACTGAGCAGTTTTGTTAATCTCGCTGGTGTTTGGCAACCTCTCAGCAGCAGCCACAGAGGCACTACAGCTGTCTGTCTGCAGCCCCAGGAATACAATGCTGCATTATTTTATATTCGGCAGATCATCTTTCCAATCATAAGGTCTGGAATGTTTTATATATTTACTTCTCCATGAGGAAAGCTTCCTACTGTCACTAATCAACAGATTTTCCAAGACCCACTGTCTGGTGCGTTACAGAGATAAATGAATTGATATTTACAAGGCACTTTGGGGTCCTAAGGTGGAAATACAAAATATTGCGTGTATGTTTTGGAAAGGGCCTTGGAATAAGTTACATGGTACGGTGTCGTTCCCAGTGATGCAAGTCCAACCACATCCTTCATCCAAATCCTCCTGAAGGTTCACTTTTTTTCCCTCTGATGTTCACAGATGTTAACTCACATTGATCCTGTTCTCCCTTCTCCAATATTATTTTGATGGAGAAAAAGAGAATAAAACAATAAGTGTAATGCAAAAAAGATACGATGAAGCATTTTAGTAGTGCCCCTCAGAATGCTCTACTTTATCTGGCTCATAAATAACACACATTTAAAATTATAGCAATGCACTGGTAGCAAACCGAGAGCTGTTATCCTTCAGTGTGTCTGACGCTGAGCGCTTCTTTCATTTTTTTCTTTCTTGTGTTTAATTTGCAATAATACTGTGCCTAGGTTGGGTAAGTGTGGAGCATGAAAAGCTGTGCCAGGTGACTTGAAAACGTTAGTGTCCTCTTAGGAGTATTTGTTGTCCAAATCGGAGAGCAGGTGCCAGGAGGCAGCGCAGCAGCAGTGAGTTTGGGCAGCGTGGCAGGCAGCAATGGTGGCTTTCTGACAGCCCAGCTACCGTCTGGGTTTCTCAGGACGTACAAGGGGAGATGGCTGAGATGCTGCCTCAGCGCCACTGCTTCCACTGGCCAAACAGCTCTTCCACTCTTCCCTGTCACTGCCGGCTGCAGTGCCACCTCTGTGCATCATTATTTATATTTCCTTTCTGTACCAGCCCAGCTGCCTCTCAGGGTACCTTCACCCAAAGTGGTGGCTTCAGCCCTGTGGAATAATGAGTGGGTTACTCTGGAGAAGCAGCTCAGCCTGGACTGGTGGCAGTGGGAGCTGGGCCTGCTCCACGGCCACAGCTGGATGCTGCATAGCTCAGTTCTCAGGGGTGGCTACCAAGTGTTGAGTGTGTTGCCTGGCCCCAAGCACAGGGCCAGGAGACACGATAGTGTCACTGACCCGACTGAGGAAACGAAGTGGGTGGATGGTGGTTTGGCAGAGCTAATGGGCAGAGGATGAATTTAACTTGGAGTTACAGCCACAGGCCTCAGGACGAGCTCATGTAATGAAAGATACTATTTCAAAGTGTTGTTAAAACAAAGGTGTCCTGGTTCCTCTCCAGGAGGGAGATGAGGTGTATTGGCACCTGGAAAAGCAGTTACAAGAGAAGGGGAACAAAGGGCGAATGAGGATGGTACAGACATGAGAGCTGTCAATACCTCACTCCAGGCAGTGAGAGAGAGTACAGGGGAGACTTGTGCTGGAAGGACTGGAGCTAGAGATGCACATGGGGAATATTTGGCAGCACAGTGACACACACCTGGGACCCTGTGACACCCCCTTACAACAAGAGGGGCTTGCAGCAGCAGGTACCAGAGGTTTTGTGCACTGTTCTGTTCTGATATGCCACAGATGCAAACAAGTGCCCTTTCTCAGAGCGATGCACAGCGCAGTCAGGAGACAGACTACAACCCTGACTCTAGCTTTACAGGTGACACCCTGCATTTCATTTGTTCCTGAGCTCCGGCAGCCGCCCGGGCCGGGTTGCCCAAGAGCAGAGGCAGAGAGCGCACAGACCTGCTCCAGCAGCCGTCAGTATGTGGACGAACTTGTGTGGCAGTGGCGGGAGGCTGGAGCTTGGCACCGCTCGCTCTCTCTGTCAGTCTGAAGGAGGAAGAGA